ATGTCTCCTGCGCATCGAAGACCCGCAAGAAGATCCGATACACGCCAAGAGCTATCTTGTAGAGCCTCGATTGGAGACGAAAGGCATAGTTAAACTAGCGGTCTACATACAGGCCATGTCAGAAGGGATCGGAAATTTCCTCCGGTCCTTTATACCAGAAGATGCCACAGCAAAGCTGGCTGAGGGCAAAGATTTCTTATCTATGCAGCACTACGTCAATGGAAGCGTCTGGCCTCAGCTACGGGCAGCTCAGGATGCTGAACGGATGAACCTCGATTTCCAATATGAGATGAACAACGAGAGTAGTAAGAACATCTTTGACCCTTTGACTACTGATATTTACACACCATCTTCTCCAGAATGGGGTTGCGTGCTAAGCCTTACTATTAGTGATCCTCACAGACGGATGAGCACGGATTGCAAGGAAACGCGGAAATACATTGTCCCAACCATAAGAAAATCCAAAAAAGAGGCGCGAATCGTGGCCTTGTATCTAGCGGGACACCAGGGAATTCTACAGCTTCTGAAGGACCTGTCAGACCGGTGGGAATCTAGCGGGAATCCTGGAACTGGGGAATCTGAAGATGTGGCACGCCTGAATGCTGAAGAGCTTGAACTAGGCGAAATATTAGAGAATGACGCCAATTCAAGTCACGGTGCTGGTGGAACTTTTCCGGATGCTCCGGTGTCTCTGGAAAACTTTTCAGGTTCGTATTTCTCCCTTCGTCAACTCATGGGTTGCTGATCCCATCTTGGTTTTCAGCCCTTCTAGATGGTTCAAATTTGAAACGGAAGCGAGGAGGGTCGATGGATGATATAGGCCTGGGCCAACAATATGAGGGTGCTAGACTTTCCAATCCTAGTGCAGACGGAAATAATAAGCGTTTGAAAATGTGAATATATATGTGTGCACAGGCGAATTTTCTGTTGCCCTAATGAATACTTGACGCTCGGCTTTTTTATTCCTTCCGTGTAGATCGTTGTTAATCAACGCAGTATAGACTGCTTGGACTTATTTGTCGCCACAACTTCCAGATGTAAGATTGATATAGAGCGAGGCAAGTACGAAGAACAGTCAAACTATTCTTACCTTGAAGATAGCAGTGCTTTCTGCTTAGCTTCGCTCATTTCCAAATCCAGGATCCGCACACTTTTATTCAGTCTTAAGGCGCATTGGACGAATCAGCTGACCGTAAGCAATTGCGCCGTAGGAACAGACGCGAGACTCAAAAGGTGCTCATGTCACTATTCAATCTGCCGTGCTAAGTATGTATGCAGTCTCCTTTTGGTCATCAGTACAGTAATATGGACTCATTAAAGACATAAAATCGATACAGGTAGCTAGGGTAAGCAATATACAATCAAGCGTAACATTCAGTCGTAATTTTCGTTCGTGTCCTAGCAGGTTCAGATTTCCATAACCAAATTCAATGGTGTTCAGAAGCCGCTGAACGTATCATCTCTTCAGCTTCGACGCTTCGTGGCTTGAGCACACATTCAAAGGGGGCCGGTACACTGGAAAGATATTCTCAACGACTGTACAAAATGGAATATCATAACACACCATGCCATAGATGAAATGAACTCGTAAGACGGTTCAATCACGTTTCCATTTTTATCAACTGGTTTGGCGATATCAAGCACTGTGAGCATTGATGCAACTGCCATCCAGATACAAGAAGATGCCATGAAACGACCCGGGCATATGCTTCAAGAAGTGCGATTCACTTTGAGATGAAATTGCAACAATTGGAAGGTAACGAAACTGACCGACGTCCAAATCCAAACAATGCCGACTCTGGATCCTTCACAGCAGGATTTATATTGCCATCTTCACCAATGAATCTTTCAGGTTTAAATGAGTGGGGGTCGGGATACACGTTCTTCCGAAACAAAAATATCAGTTGAATGGCCGAAAGTAAGTTCTTGGAACTTACCTCGTCGTGGAGCATCGCCCTGCCAGAAGCACCGTCGGCATTCAGTAAGGATGTTTTACCTCGCACAGGAAATTCGTCACTTACCAGACATTATAGACCATTATTGAGCCCGCTGGAATTCTATAGCCTCTATAGATATCCTCGAATTTCGACGCATGAGGAATACCTATATCGGCTGTAAGTACGGAGTATCAGTAATGAAGCAGCAGCATACCGAGAGGAGTGACATTCTTCCACCTCAGTGTTTCTTTCACAATCGCCGTCACAAATGGAAGGTGCTGCTGATCGGAAAACCGGGGAAACTCTCCAGGTTGAACAACAGAACTAATTTCCGCCTGGGCGCGTTCCAGGGCCTCGGGGTTTGCCAGCATAGCGAGGATGAAGGTGGTCAATACCGAAACAATCTAGATTTAAGGTGAAACTAAATGGGGAGATTATGTAGTTGAAAGCCAATAACAAACCGAATCAGTGGCACCTAGAACCCGGTCAGTAAGGAGTTGATCTGAGCAAGAGATACCATACCGGTGTACATCGTAGCTGCGGTCGACTGCACTCTTTGTTCTTGTTCGGTAATGTTTTCGGCACCATCCAATTTTTCCAAGCTATACGATGTGAAGGATGGTCGAGCAGTGCCTTGCGACTATGAACTTTTAGTCCGCCTGTATGCATGATCAACTACAGGATGAACTTACGATCTGTTCCTTCGCAGCAGCAAACGGTAGATCGCGCATTAAAGTAGAATACCGGGCCCATTCTTTTGCTTTACGTTTGAAACCGGCTCCTAGATAGAATTTGAATAGGTCAACTGTAAGCCTAACCTCCAATCAAACTAGCACCCAAGAAGCTTACCGGGAAACCACTCTGGAACATATTTCAAGGCGGGTATAGACTCGACAAGGAAGGCGCCGGGAGCTATACCCAGACCGAGAGATTCCAAAGCGCGCTCGGCGGCTTCAACATATGGGTCATTTTTGTCCTGGACATCGATCCCGTATGCGATACCAAGAATAGTCGAAGCAGCGAAGCTAAAGGAAAAGCTCAGATATCATTATGACCCTCAATAGAAACCGCTCACTGTCGGATGTGTTGCACGTAATCCTTAGGACTATCTATTATACGGTTAAGGAGATGACGAGTGGCTCGGACTTCGATGGGGTGAAAACGTTCCGCGGCTTGCGGATTAAACTCTTGTTGGAAGAGCTTTCGTTGAGCACGCCTGATGAATATAGAATTTAATTCTTATCCTCGGAATACTAGTGAGTAGAGAAGAAGCATACCATTCATCACCTAGAAATCCGGTCAGCAAGGAGAACGATTTCCCAATGTGATATGGTAGGCGAAAACGTACCATATGCCATGAGACCGAAAGAATAATCCCATCCCATCAATTCATTCACCATAACTAGACGCGGCCTACATATAAATCAGATTTTGTGGCAAAATATGCAGCGTCCTCGACATTTACCTATCCGAGTGAATTGCCGAGTGATGATCAAGTAGCTCTTCAGCGACTTGAGAAGAATTCATCACCACGATAGACGTCCCAGCCACCTCGAGGTGAATAATGTCCGACTCTGCAGATTTTTGATATTGAGAAAATCCGGAACGTGAAAACAAAAAACTGGATCACCTAGCTCTTTACACCACCTATCGTACGTCTCCCACTCGAACGATTTCGGCATATCGAGCAGGTTACCAATGAGTGGCAACTTTGGAGGTCCCGGAGGGAGAGGAGCTTGGTTTCTTCTAGATCGCTGTCGGTACAACAGCGCTACGACCAGAGAAATAAACGCAAGCGTGACGAGAGGTTCCATAGGGCAGAGTGAGTAATTGGTAAAGTGGACAAGGTCGAAAGGCAGCAAACTCCACCGCCATTAAATATGATATCCACTCTGGTTTTAATTTTGAGCATTTCCCTGAATCCTTGAGGCTCGTACATAACTGTAAAAAAAACCTTCCCCAAAGTTGATGACAACATCTGATCCATACATACGCGTTTGCCGTCAGGATAAAATAGGGTGCAGCAGGCACAGGGAAGGCAGCACTTTTCCGAGACAGTGGCTCAATATAAAACGGAACATGAGACCCAAATTTGACCCTGAAAAAGCAAGGCCGAAAATTGAAAGACAGACACTGATTGAATTTCTTTGAAAAAAAACGTGGTTATTACAGTAAAAAATTGAAAGACGAGATCGAACCCAGAATCTCCTGCAGGAAGACGGAGATCTTGCATTTTTGCTAAAGATCTAGTAGGAGGTAGGCAAAGGTAACCTGAAAATTATTGAGACGACATGAGGCTGACCTGCGCGTGGTGGACCCATATCAAGGTCAAAACTTTATCGTTAGGGTATTCTTGGGTCCTCGGAGGACTTGAACTTAAAAATTTTTGCAGAACAAAGATAGGACCTGACCGCAGTTAATCCAAAATATCGCCAATACATACTCACACTCATACCAATCATATCCAACCTTACCACCTGCTCGCACTTAAGAATCCGAATGCCGGCATGTCTGCAATCTGTATCTAAAGTCAATGCCAAGTAAGTGAGTATGGTAGACTTCGTCTGTACCAAGACGTTTCAGGCTTCCAGCCGTTCCGAATTGAACCCACGACCGAGAATATTTGCGAGAATGTCAAAAAAAGGTGTCCGCAAAATGTCAGTAGACCCTGCGCGGGACGTTAGTAGGAGCTCATCGAGACGCAACACAATGGCCCTGTTTCTCTCGCCAGTCGATAACTCGAATGTGCTGACTATCTCCTCTTAAATCGGGACTTGACTCAATCCTCCTCTCCAATCGGCACTTCAACAAGGGATCGGCGTTGTGGTCCGTCAACGGGAAGTTGAGGCATTCTCTAGGACAAAGGCAGAAGTGCAATGACTGATGCACTCCTTCATTTTCTGTCCGGAAGTAGCTCATTGCGTGTCGAATGTCCTTCCTCGAGTACGTGACTTGCTGTACAGAGCCCGCTCGGAATGCGGCTTAAACATAAGGCGAACGGTGACGGGGTGGCGGCAGGAAAGACAAGGCCGTGGTGATAGTTCGTGACAACCTCTCGTTATTGCATTAATGGGGTAGTGGTAACCTGGGTCGTTGCCAGCTGCATTGTGCTACAGAGCTCGACCCGCCGGGGGTTCGATTCCCCCTTAATGCATGCAGGATTGCCGTTATCTTTTTGAGCGTGCTCATCTCCGAATCTTTGTTGCCACCATATCTGAAGTCAACAAAGTAAATAAGTGATCGGAATTTTCGGCTCTTTCCGACTACTCAAGCAGGATCGCCCATAGAAGTATTCGTATGCAAAATACAATAAATATAATACTCATAGCAAAAAGTACCCGGATAGTCCATTCCTTCCTAGTCTAACCAATAAAGCACTTCCAAGTAGATCATCCTCCACACCCAGCTTTTCCTTGACCTTCCGCCTTGTTCGAGAGTAAACTCCCTATTCCGTCTCTTGCTTTGCTTGCATATATTTTTCAGCATCCTCCCTGCCCCTCTGCACATTTACGGCACCCAACACAGGCAAAGCCAACCAAAACATAACAAGGAGGAAAAAGAACGAGTAGCGGATGTTCGATGTCAAGTCAGATATGAGGGCTACGAGGAGCGGGCCGAGGAAGGAGGATGACTGAAAACATGGGCAAAGCAGGTCGAGAATCCAGTTAGTCCTATGTCACAATGTGTAATTGGAAAATCACCCAACGCACCTTATCAGTAATCGAAAACAATCCAAACCACCTCGCTTCCTCTCCCGGCGGAACGAGTTCAGCGTACAAGGACCTCGCGTAAGATTGAAACGCGCCCAGTACGAAACCGAAATATACCGCCAGGACATACATCTCTCCCGGTGTCGTCAGCCCCCCAAAGGCCCATCTTTTGAAGAATGGAATGAAACCTGTGGACGTCGGAAATTGAGTATGAACAGTGAAAATTTTACAATCAATCGAGATACAGAATACTTACCCAGGCAGCCATATATGGGCACTCCGCCCGCCATTACAACAAGGGTTACAAGTACGCGAAGATTGGTCCACTGATATCTGTGATACATATGCAGATATGAGAAAAGGGGTTAGTATCATGCAAGGATCAAAACGAGGCGCAGGATGTGTAAAAAATCAAAGCGAAGTGAGGCCGGCCCTGAGCGTGAGGGATAGATGACTACATAGATTGCAACTCCGAACTCACCTCCGCTGTAGGCGATTCCAACTTAGTGAGCCCGTAATGCCCGAACAAGGTACAATGATTCCCAGCAGGATGAGAGAAGAAGCGGGCATGCCTAAGGAGGTTTTGGCGAAAAGAATTGAGGTTGAGGTCAGAGTTGTGAATGCTACGGCGAATGAGATTAAGCAAATATCATGTTCAGACGATTCAGGAAGAAGGGCTTACCGTCACTCAACAAAAACCACGCTGCTAGGAACTTGAACGTCTCTTTCAGCCTTTTCATTTCGGACGGACGGAGCAAGAGGAAGAGGGAGTACCATGCGAGGCGAATTCGGCGACTGATAGAAAGGCTGGGTTTACGAGGGCTTCCGTCACCTCTATCAGAGCCAGTTGTGGTATCGTTAGCTGTTTCCACGTCTGCATCTCGCAGCAAACGCTGTTCTTCTCCGGCATCCTCCAGATCCACGCTCGTCAAATGCCTCTCTCCACTAGACCCATTCCGTTCCGCTTCTTGCTTTCTAAGGTTGCGTTTGAGTTCATGCCCACCAGGCAACCACACAGCGGCCGGGATTGTAAAGACCGCCCACCATATCCCACTCAGTCCTATAGCTAATCTTAACGAGAATGTCGTGGATCCTGCTTGTAAAGCTCCTTCATCACGCGAAGGAATTGCCGTTGGAGCACCACTAGTGAGTGAGACGAGAAGGAGGGCGATTATCAACATGAAAATCCCTGCACCGTACCCCAAGGCAATGCCGAATGAGGACAAGCGAGAGGTTGTATGAGAAAGGTGGGTGGCGTAGGCGTCATAGGCTTCAGCAATAGATGGATGGGAATTGGCTGCCTCATCCTGGTCTCGGTCCCGCGCGGTGACATACATTTGCCATTTGTCCTTTACATCGGGATTCTCCCTCGCCAGGCCTGGTAGATACGCGTTCATGGCTACCACAGATGTGCCGAAACAGACATTGGCAACTATAGCCAATACTGCACAAAGACCCCAAAGGCTCGAGTCGGAAGACAAAAGCATGAAAAACATCGCCGATACCGATCCCACCGCCGCACATCCAAGCAGAAGTGGTTTTCGATATTCTGGACGGTCGGCAATGTTTCCGACGGATATGACAGTAAGAGCCTGAAGCAGAACAGAGAAGGAGAATGTATAAAGACTGAAACTGGCCGTGTCAATCCAGAGCCATCCGATTTTGACTACGCAGCGTCCACTTCCATCCCCTGCCGAGCATGGTTCAACTTTTGCAGGCTCCGAAAACCCATTGTCCCTCGCAAACTGCTCCAGACATATGGGCAGAAACAGAGTTAAGGAGACTATCACGAATACTTCGCTTGCAAAGGCATAACTGAGCCAACCCAAGAGGTGTCGGTGGAAGGAGGACAGGCGAGGAAAGGCCATATTTCGGCGGTTGAAAAAAAGCCCTGAGAGCGTAACAAGTTCGTCAAGTGTAAAGTTTGATAGATTTCAGGCTATGTAGCGTTCAGCGCATCGTTTGGCAGCGTAACTGCTGCCCGCAGTGATGTTGGAGAAACTGGCAGTGCGTGCTTAGCACGTGACGAGACGCGATGCGGCAAGGCACCACGGTGACAACTGCTTCAAGTTCTTGAAATCAGATTGGTGTTCTATTTACGAGCTCGAGGTTATGAACATGCTGGACCAACTCATGTAGCAACATGCGCACTCCGAATACAAAGGCAGGTAAGGTATTGTACCTCCATTTGCTGATCGTTCCCGCGTCGTTCGCACCCTTCAAGTTTTTTTGTGGTTCCAAAAGCCGCAAATTCTGAAGATATTATAGTTGTTAGTGGTCGGCAGGAGTCAACTGATACACGTGACTTCTAACGAGGTATTTATATAATCCTTGAACGCGTCGTCGACTTTGTCCTATTGCGGTACTCAGACCAACTGCGATACGCTCACATTCTACCTACCTAGCTTATAATATATTGCCATGGCTTCCAATTTTCCAGGCTATCCTTCATCCTCATCTCGAAGATCTTCATTCCGAAGGGGGCATACCTCATCCTCATCACGAAGAGGACATACTTCAAGGACATCTCAAATGGTATGTCGATTCGGTTCTCTGGAAATACGAAGCTCATGTACAAGCGATAGAACAATGTACCAAAGCGTCGTAATCCTCCCTCTGAAACCGTCTTCACGGATGCAATGCCCAGACAGGATGACCATTGTGTGCGCTACGCCTGTCTGCTTCACCCTCATGTTGGTACCCATTGGTTAACGGCTCACTTCTGGCCTAGCAGCAGTACTTGGAACCAATTCTTTTCTGGCTACTTCTTTGATCTTCTGGATCCCGATGGTAACTCTATACCCCCACCTGCCGATCTTGCTGTGTATCAGCCTAGCGGTGGCCATTGGACAGAGATACGCACTCTGGAAGGTGTAGCACTTCTGGCACTAAACGTCACACCACTCAACGATCACGAAAAATATTTTGTGACGGAGGGCACTCGACTTCTCTTTTATAAAAGAGATGTCATATGTGCAGAGGTCATGGCTCCTCTCCACGAGGATAGCTGGGACCCAATTACTGGTTCCCAGAGCCTTCATTCTGTTCAGATTTCTTGCTATGCATAGGAAGTCTTCTATATAAGCTGTACAAGTGATAGTATTGTGTGCAGGTAACCGGGATAAGAGATTTACTCATCTCAGGCTCGAGCTCGATGCAGAACAATGGTGAAACGAATTGGCCGTATACATTTTTTACTATATGTAATATGATCAGGTAGATATTGTCGAAGACACACACTGTACACTACTACATGCATCTTGAAACATCTGTAGACCGACACGCCGACAGATTTTCGTCAAATTGGGAAGGGAGAATCTATAATAGGGACATTGAGTCTGAGAACAAAGTAATTTAAGTACTATTGGCCTTTTACCCTCATAATCCAGTCGAGCTACCGGCTTCTGTTCCATCACATGTCTACTCTCTATAGAAGTGGTCGCCGCGGTGACAACTGCTTCCAGAAACCAGGTTGGTATTCTTAGTTCTATTTACGAGCTTATGAGCATGTCTACATAAATTGAAAAAAAATCAAAGATGAACTTTTCACATAGTAGCATGCGCACTCCGAATCAAAGGCAGATATCTAGTAACTTAAACAACCTCGGTCAACTTTTCATGGTCATCTTTGACTAAGATTGTGTTAGCGTCTTCGGCCATAATTCTGGGTGATATCAATGATTCATCAAGGACATGGTTTGTGCTTCTCTGAGATTCAGCATGAGGCGAGAATAAAATAACTGAGGGTCCCATTGTAGACAATGATTGATTGTCATAGGTGCTTCCTAATCCAACTCGTACCGCAATCAGAGTAGGAGCAAGGCCCTGTCAAACGGAAACTATGTCACACTCACGTCTCATTTGAAATGACTGTACTCACAACAGTAATGACCCCCAGACAAGTGGAATTGGGTAGTACTAATGCTGCCAATATAAGATATATTGGATAAATGACTCCTGATTCTATACTGCAGCACATAGAAGATGGATAATCAGCATTCACTATCTAACAGAGGCTTGTTGCTTCAAATATCGACACACATGATAGCAATAGTTTTATAATACCAGTGCCTCTGTGGCCCTGGTATCAATGCAGAGGCATATTCAGCCTGAAGTGCTCTCGATATCCACCATATCCGACCAGCTAATGGAATTATCTGTCAAAGTGGTATCACATACAGAAAAAGATAAAGCAGTACCAATCAAAAGGGTCATCAACATATTTGCAGTGGCATTCACATCTGCAAAAATGAAAAGTATCTTTGGACCTATCCGCGGAAATTGATTTGATGTATTTGGGTCGCTCCAACGCCAGAGAAGACCGACTGCCTCGACAATATTCAATACTAAAAGAGGAAAATGGGTATGGAATGCATTCTTATTCCACTCTCAATGACATACCTTTAGCGACACCTACGATCAAACACAGAGGGAGAAGAATTTT